GAGAACCCCGAGAGCATTTCCCAGCCCCAGGCCGGCAGCTCCAAAGCTGTGGCTCAGCAGGGGAAAGCCGCAGCTCAGCTGAGCGGGGACGCCGTGGCTCAGCTGAGCGGAGGCACGGCTTGGCGGGGCAGCGCCGCGGCTCAGCTGAGCAAAAGCGTGGCTCAGCTGGGCGAGCGCAGTGGCGCCGCCGGAGAGGTGCTGAGGCCAACCCGGACAGGCCGAGAGGCCAATCAGCGGAGCGGACAATGCAGGGGGCGGGACGGACTCCGGTGTACCAGCACGGCGGGAGCTTTAAAAACCGCCGGACAACACAGGAAAGGGGGAGCGGTTGGATGGAGAGACTGGACCGGCCAGGAGGGACAGCGCCCTACCCCGAGCCGTTGCCCTGCCGAGATTCGACACCGCCGGGGTAAGGACCACCAAAAGGGGAAAAGGAAGTAGCCCAGGGCAGGGCGGTGAGGAAGCCCGTGGGCTGATGCGTTTAGGGGCACACCCCCGTCAGCCGGACCCAGACTGGCAGGCAGTCTGAGTCCTTAGGGCCCTGGGCTGGGGCCTGTGAGTGAGGGCGGGCCCGGGCCCCCCTTTTCCCCCCCTTCTGCGTGGGGCGGGAACGTGTCTGACGTGGAGTACCCATTGGTGCGGGGCTAGAGAACCTCGCATATAGAGGACCTGATGTCCCAGGACGGGCACGACGTGAACAGGTCAGGTCGTGACGGATTCGCAACTCCCCCAGCTCCCTTCCTCTAGGACAGGAAAGGGGGCAAAGCCGTCACACTCCCCTACTACTAACTCACTCCAATTTGTCTACATCTTTTCTGTAGTAGGAGGCCCAAAACTGGACTCAGTGCCCCAGATGTGGCCTCACCAGTGCTGAATAGAGGGGAAAAATCACTTCTCTCAGGTTACGTCTACACTGGCATGATTTTGTGCAAGAACTCTTTTGCGGAAAAGTTCTTGTGCAAAAACTCTTCCAGAAGAGAGCATCTACACTGGCATGTGCATTTGCGCAAGAGCATCCGTGCCAGTGTAGACGCTCTCTTGCGCAAGAAAGCTCTGGTGGCCATTTTAACCATCGGGCTTTCTTGCGCAAGACATTCATGTTGCCCGTCTACACGGGCCTCTTGCGCAAGAACAGTTGCACAAGAGGGCTTATTCCTGAGTGGAAGCATCATAGTTCTTGTGCAAGAAGCACTGATTTCACACATTAGAACACCAGTGTTCTTGCGCAAGAACTCGCGGCCAGTGTAGACAGGCAGCAAGTTTTGGCGCAAAAGCGGCTGCTTTTGAGCAAGATCGCACCAATATAGACACAGCCTCAATCTGCTGGCAATGCTTCTACTAATGTAGCCCAATATACAGTTAGACTTCTTGGCTACAAGGGAACACTGTTGACTCATCTCCATCTTCTCATCCACAGTAATCCCCAGGTCCTTTTCTGCAGAATTGCCACTTAAGTCAGTCAGCCCTCAGCCTGTAGCAGTGCATGGGATTCCTAAGTGCAAGACTCAGCACTTCTTGTTGAACCTCATCAGATTTTCTTTGACCCAATCCTCCAATTTGTCTATGTCACTCTGGACCCTATTCATGCTTTCCAATTTATCTAACTCTCCCCTGCCAGCTTAGTGTCACCCGTGGACTTGCTGAGGGTGCAATCCCCAACCCCTCATCCATATAATTAATGAAGATGTTGAATAAAACTAGTCCAAGGGGCATTTTGCGTGATACCAGTTGCCAACTAGACACTGAGTTGCTGATCACTTTCCTGACTGTCCTCCTTATTCCCCACTGCTTCTTACAGAGACCCCAAATCATTGTTTACCGAGCCATAGGTGTCTTAGGATTCTTAGACTACACTTTTCGTCCAGTAGAAGGCACAGCCTATGCACCTGCCAGTAAGAACATAAGAGCGGCCCTACTGAGAGAGACCAAAGGTCCATCTAGCTCAGTATCCTGTCTGTCGACAGTGGCAAATGTCAGGTGCCTCCATGGGAATAAACAGAACAGATAATCAGCAAGTGTTCCCTACCACGTCACCCACTTCTAGCTTTTCGGAAACAGAGGCTAAGGACACCATTCCTACCTGTCCTGGCTAACAGCCATCAATGGACCTATCCTCCACTAAGTTATCTAGCTCTTTTTTGAGCCATGTTATAGTTTTCACCTTCTTTGAGAACTGATCCACAGGTTGACTGTGTAAACACTTCCTTGTGCTTGTTTTAAACTTGTTGTCTATTGAAGTCATTTGGTGATCTCTAGTTCTTGTCTTATGAGGAGTAAATATCCCATCCTTATTTACGTTTTTTCCATACTAGTCATGATTTTATAGACCTGTATCATATCACCCCTTAGTCATCTCTTTTCCAAGATGAAAAGTAACAGTTTTATTAATCTCTCCTAATATAGAAGCTATTCCATAATAATAATATCTCCTAATAATTTTTGCTGCCCTTTTCTGTACCTTTTCCAATTCCAATTTTTTTAAAGATGGGGTTATTGGATCTGGTCACAATATTCAAGATGTGGACATAATATGGATTTATGTAGAGTCAACAAAATTTTCTGTCTTGTTATTTTTTATTATCCCTTTCCTAATGATTCTCAACATTCTGTTTGCTTTTTTGACTGCCATTGGACATTGAGTGAATTTTTTCAGAGAACTATCCACAATCATTCCAAGATTTCTCTTGAGTGGTAACAACTAATTTAGACCTCACCAGGGGTAGGTCTACACTACCACCCTAGTTCAAACTAGGGTGGTTAATGTAGGCAACCGGAGTTGCAAATGAAGCCCGGGATTTGAATTTTCCAGGCTTCATTTGCATGTTGCCGGGCGCCACCATTTTTAAATGTCCGCTAGTTCGGACTCCGTGCCCGCGGCAACACGCGGCACGAACTAGGTAGTTCGGATTAGGCTTCCTATTCCGAACTACTGGTACACCTTGTTCCACGAGGAGTAAGGGTGGTTCAGAATAGGAAGCCTAATCCGAACTACCTAGTTCGTGCCGCATATAGCCACGGGCACGGAGTCCGAACTAGCGGACATTTAAAAATGGTGGCGCCCGGCAACATGCAAATGAAGCCTGGAAAATTCAAATCCCGGGCTTCATTTGCAACTCCGGTTGCCTACATTAACCACCCTAGTTTGAACTAGGGTGGTAGTGTAGACCTACCCCTGGTGAGGTCTAAATTAGTTGTTACCACTCAAGAGAAATCTTGGAATGATTGTGGATAGTTCTCTGAAAAAATTCACTCAATGTCCAATGGCAGTCAAAAAAGCAAACAGAATGTTGAGAATCATTAGGAAAGGGATAATAAAAAATAACAAGACAGAAAATTTTGTTGACTCTACATAAATCCATATTATGTCCACATCTTGAATATTGTGACCAGATCCAATAACTATAGTAATGATTATGTTTTCCAATGTGCATTTATCAACACCAAATTTCATCTGCCATTTTGTTGTCCAGTCACTCAGTTTTGTGAGATCCCT